GGCCAAAAAACTTTGTGGCAAACGAAATTTCATGCGCCATCTAATGAAAATACTCTAATGGAGTTGCGTCAGTTGGCACAGCAAACGGGTGTGAGAGCGTTCGAAAAGGGAAAAAATGGAAAAACAACAAAAAAACATTACTCAAAAAGTTTAAAAAGTAGATATACATATTTATCTAACCACAAGCTCTCGCTCTCGGGGGAATTTCACACGACGCCTCCAACTGACGCTTAAGTCACTTGCTTGCGAAATGTCAGTTTGTAGTTGCACAAACAATTTAGGCTGTTAAACAATAATAGCCCTTGGTGATTTATGACTTTAAGCGTACAAATATTTTTTCCGTCTTTATTTTATTTTTTTTAACTGTCCCTCTTCGCATTTTTGTGGCTTTTCAGTATTTAAGTTTTTCTCAAAAATTTCCAACAATTGTCTAAAAGTTTCTTAATTAAAAGTGTGACCACAGAAATTCTTAATACCTACATTTTTTCTACATTTTATTGCAGCTTCACAGTTGGCTTATGACAACCCATTTCTTCGCAGCATTTAGGCGCTAATCTATGTGACTAAGTGAAAAAAGGTAAGCAAATTTAAGTACATAAAAATGCCACCGCTCTGACGCTTAGGTATTTAAATTTATTGCTAAATCCCTTTCGTTGACTTCTTTGTGCAGATGTTTGATTAATGTCGCTAATTTGTGATTAAACATCTTTTGTAAATGTACCTAATTTTTGAGGTACTTTTTTTTGGACCTTTGTGATTTATTGTAATTACAGTGAGTGAGGAGAGGGCGGAGATGAACAGATATAAATAAGATTATTCAGCTTCTAAATAAAATTTTATTAGTTCCGAATATGAAAATGTATGACATTTTGCCAGTGAACAGAAACGAGTTTCACGGGGGCTCTTAAATGCTTGATACTTTATTTAATTTGGGCCCAAAGAAGCTCAAATGATCTCCAAGACGTGCCACTCAGGTAAATTCGGTATACTTCCGAGTTTGGGTAGGCCTGTTCGTTGCCATCGTGTCCCCGAGCCTAAATACCCAGCTTGGCAGTACTGTACTCATGGTTCCAGAAGAATTTAGGGAAGTGATGCACTGTTGTTATGTGGGACGTGAGTGCTGCATAGTAAAACGGTTCAGTGCGGAATTAACAAGGGTTGTCCTTACGGTGGTGTGCTTTGCTCTGGAGCTTGGTTATTGATTCTCTACTGGTCACTCTTAATGACTCTGATATCTATGCTCAAGCCTATTCGAGCAATGTAGCCTGTCTATTCATGGATTCATATCAGCCGGCTGTTTGCAGGAAAGTGCACTCTATACTGAAGATGATTGGCACTTGGCGTAATGGAAATGGTCTCACCGCTAACCCTGCCAAAACTAGTGTTGTGGTTAGAAGGAGAAGATCGGATGGTCTCCTTGGTTCGTAGAAACTTAGTCTGAGTACTTACCCAGGAGGATGTGATTTCTCTGGGATCGCTGATATGATCTACTTTCATGATTCGTCAGTTCCGTCAAACTACTTGGATTTTTCAATGAATCTATTTATGTTATGTCTTCAGACTTTAGATAGATAATCTCTCTAGTTTATCATACCTCCTTATGCATGCCAACGCAGAGAACTCGCAAATGTAGTGTAGGGTCGTTTCCTTACTTCCTTCTAGATTGCAGCTGTGGCACCGTGGTTTGTAAGGGAGGCCCATTATGGCTGCATGCTCGCCAACGGGTCTCGTTATCGGGGCAGTTAACCTGACTATATCTCTTCTCGATCTCTTTAGAGGTTCCTCTGTGTTTGGTTTGTCACACTGCGGCCATATATTCCACCCACTTTTGGAGGTTTGAAAGGTTTTCCAACGTGTATTAGATACATATATGTGAAAATTGGGCAGTGGACGGTTTATTGTTTCTGCTTCGAATTCATCAAGAGATGCTCCGACCTTATCCAACTTCTCAGTACGTTCCAATGGCCGGGACCCCAGATGAAATATGTGCCAATGAAACTTTATCTTTACCCAGGCTAGCCTGAAACCCGAATTGTTGATGTGTAAACATCTTAGCTCTCGGTATGGGTAAAATTTTCGTTTACCCTGCAGAAAATTTGTAATTGGACATTTCTAGCCTAGTTTCGGGCTACTTGAGAGCAATTTTTGGACTAGCTCACGAATATGGTTTCTGACCATTTCGGGTTAATTTCGGGTCTAGTTTCGGGATATGTTCAGGACTATTTTAGAATTTGTTCGGGATCCTTTTGGGCTTAGTGCCGGATCATTTTAGGATTAGTTCGTTACCGTTTCATGACCAGGTCTGCGCTATTTTAGGGCCATTTCGAAGCTATTTCAGAACCATTTCAGGACTAAGTAGTTCTAGACTCAGACTAGTTTAGGATTAAGTGAGGACTATTTCGTGATTAGTTCGAGATAACTTTGAAACCAGTACCTACAGGAATATTTTGGGACTGGTTTAGGATTATTTTAGGAACATTTCGAGTCTAATTAAGAAACATTTCGGGACTAGTTACAGATTATTTTAAGACTAGTTTGTGATCATTTTTATATAAGAAATGGACCATTTTGGGACCGTTTCAAGACTTGTTCGAGCTCTTTTCGTGAAAACTTCACGACCGACGTTTTCAAAATCACTTCAGGAAAATTTCGGGATCATTTAGTAACGTCACGAAATGGTCCAGAAATAATCGTGAACTATTCCCAAAGTGGTAATGAAAAAGTCGTGTGTTGGTGCCGACAAAATGAAATGAAATTAATGTTTAATTTCTAACCTAACCTATTAATGTATGTAACTTAATCGCGTAATGCAATGCCAAGCCAAACACAGATGTTTACACATCAAATTACATGGTTACCTGGTACGAGTATGTTTTTTTATTGTGTAAGAAGCATTTTTTAATTTTTTTTGCAGCTTCTATGTAAATATTATATCAGAACATAGAAACTTTCCTAACATTTCGTCAAGTAAAGTCAATAGAGTAAAGCCACACAAGAAGTAGCCATACTAGTTTGTATCTGGGCATAGGACATTGCAATATTCGCGAAAAAATTAGCCATTTACTAAGAAATATTGTACGCTAAATCTTTTGGAAACGAGCATACCGAAAAAATACATATGAACATATGCACCCTGCAAACGTGCAAGTCGTTGCCAGAGCTTATCCTCTTCACCAATTTTTCGGAGTGTGTGTGCTTTTTAAAACACTTTTTTAATTGACTTTGTAACTTTTTAATGATAAAATGCTTCTCATTTGAAGTGTACGTCGTTCGTTGAAGTGCATAAAAGTATGTACTACATACGTACGAACATACATACTATGTATCAAAGAAACTTACTTAAACAGACATGAATGGCTACAAAAGTACCATTAAGTAGGTGGTATACTTATAAATAATACGATTATTTAAAACTTTAACCTGACGTAGTTTGACGATGTGTGCTGGCCGCAAGCGTCTTTAGTACTTTCTGCTACATTTCCCATTGTATTTATTATACGAGTATTTTTGTATATGGAATTTAAGTGAAATCATTGTTCCTGCTGAAAGCGAAGAAGAATAGATATTTGCCGTGGTGGGATTAGGTCAAGTAGTGTTGTTATTTAACTCTTTCCATTGCGTTTTGCAATGTAAATGGTTACCTGTATTTAAGAAAATAAATACGAACTCGAAATGTGAGCACTTTTTGGATTCATACCAGTGCAGAAAAGTTTTCGTTTCACAGGTTTAACTTGGCTTGCAGGCAATAGAAGTTTTTCCAAATTTAACACAATTTAAGCAAAGATTCAAAAGTCTTGTGATAAGTGTTGATACTTATAACTATTTATCAAATAGTGAGTTTAAAATGTTGCTTCTTTTGTTAAGGAATAGGGTAGATGATGTGCGGGAAATTTGAATGAGCTAAAAAAAAGGGTGCAAAAGTGCTTTTATTAAAAGTTTCATTACACTTTTTTTTTATTATTATTTATAGCCTGTATTCAACAATTTAATTGAGCTTAAATCAAAGAAGAAAGACAAACGCCAAAAGTTTCCAGGGTGCGCAAAGGCTTGCGAAACTGTGTATAACCGAAGCTTTGCACACTACTCCCACGACAGTACTAACCAAAAGTTCTGAGCTCGTATGCTCTAGGCCTAGTTGTGAGAAATCTGCATTTAGGCTAAAAGCAACAGCACAATTAGCAGGACAGTTATTTGGCCACAGGTAGATTATAAAATAAGCACAAAGTTATTAATGAGCCAGGCTGGTTGGAATCTGGGATCTGTGATTCAATTGCCATACGAACCACTTAAGTCTTATTGGATTATTTGAAAAATAATTTCATTTCTGGCAAAAAGTTGTCACGTTAATTACACTGGGGTACAGCAAAAATGTTCAATGGATGCCACTGTCCAATTCGTTTATAGAATTGCTCGCTGATTCCGAAAATCTAGTTAATTTTTTATTCGATGGACAAGTTTTCGAGATATTTTCAATTTACCGTTATTCAGCTTTAAAAAAAAATTGATTCCACTCAATCAAATATATCTTACGAACCAATTTAAAAATCTTAATACGAGATACGTATCGGCCGCTGTAGCGTAGTGGTAAGCAGTGCGCGCTTACACTCCGCAGAGCCTGCGTTCAAGCCCTGGTCAAAGCAACATCGAAAAAAATATAGAAAGAAGGTATTTTCTTAACAGCGGTCGTCCCCCGGCAGGCAATGGCAAACCTCCGAGCGTATTTCTGCCATGAAAAACAGCTTCTCATAAGAATACAATCGCCGTTCGGAGTCGGCGTAAAACTGTAGGTCCCTCCGCTTTATGTGGCAACATCAAGGCGCACGCCACAAATTAGAGGAGAAGCTCGGCCAATCACTAACATATGTATAAGCGCCAATCTAGTATTATTATTATTAATGCTAGATACGGCAAATGAAAGCTAATACAATTCTCCATAAACCATGTATACATCACTTTCCGATAGGACTGATGGTTTCTGAAAAATAAATTAATCATTCCCGTTTTTTTTTTTGAGAATTTTATTAGCTTTCATTTGCCGTATTTCATATTAAGATTTTTAAATTGTTTCGTAATATATACCTAATTAAGTGGAACTGAAGCTGAATAACGGTAAATTGCAAACATCTCAAAAACGTATCCATAGAAAAAAAAAATTAACTTGATTGTCGGAATCACCGAGCAATTCTACATAGAAATTGTTTAGTGGCGTCGGGAGAACAAAAACCAAACTAAAATTTGTGATCCAGTGTTTTCAGTCGAGCATCGAACAAGCTAAGCAAAGGTCACTTACACATAAAATACGTATTTATTTGAAGTGCAGCGCTATTGTTAGCATGTTACACAGAGACATATAAATATTAAGTGGACATTACTAAGCTCTTTTCTCAGTCGAGTATGTTTTCTACTTAATTTGCGTCATACATTTACAACTGCATCATACCCATTGAAGCTCAATTGTAATCATATCCCCCATATTAAGATAGGTAACCTCTAGGTAATTCCTCTCTTAATGAATGCAAATTTACACACCGTGTTAATTAAATTCGCAACACTGTTTGCTTCCTTTTACTTATCATA